TCCAGAAAGAGAGTGAAAAAGATACAAATAAATGAAAGCATATACTGTGTTCATGGATTGGAAGAATTAATATTATTAAAATGTCCATACTATCCAAAGCAATCTATAGATTCAACACAATTCCTATCAAAATATCAATGGTGGTTTCATAGAACTAGAACAAATAACCAAAAATTTTATATGGAAACACGAAGACTCCAGCAATCTTGAGAAAGAAGCACAAAGTTGGAGGTATCATACTACCTGATATCAAACTATACTACAAGGCTATGGTAATCAAAACAGCATGGTACTGGCATTAAAACATACATATAGATCAATGGAACAGACAGAGAGCCCATAAATAAACCCACACCTATATGGTCCATTAATATTTGACAAGGAGGCAAGAACATACAATGGGGTAAAGACAGTCTACTCAATAAATGGTGCTGGGAAAATTGGACAGATGCATGCAAAAAATGAAACTAGACCACCTTCATATACCCATATGCAAGAATAAAGTCAAAATTGAGTAAGACTTGAAACCATAAATATCTTAGAAGGAAATACAGGCAGTAAAATCTCTGACATTTCTCTTAGCAATATTTTTTTCTGATATATCTCCGCAGGCAAGGGAAACAAAAGAAAAAATAAACAAATGGGACTACATCAGGGTAAAGTTTTTGCACAGCAAAGGAAACCATCAACAAAATGAAAAAACAACCTACTGAATGGAAGAAGATATTCCCAATAAGGGGTTAAACATAAAAAATTTGTAAAGAACTCAACACCAAAAAATCCCAAACAATCCAATTAAAAAATGGGCAGAGGACACATCTCCAACGAGAACATACAGATGTGGCAACAGACAGATGCAAAGATGCTCAACGTTACTAATCACCAGAGAAATACAAATTAAAACCACAATGAGATATCACCTCACACCTGTCAGAATGGCTGTCATCAATACATCAGCAGACAACAAGTGTTGGTGAGGATGTGGAGAAAAGGAAGCCCGGTGCACTGTTGGTGGGAATGCAGACTGGTGCAGCCACTATGGAAAACAGTATGGAGGTTCCTCAAAAAATTAAAAATGGAACTGCCTTATGACCCAGCAATTCCACTTCTGGGAATTTATCCAAAGAAACCTGAAACACTAATTCAAAATAATATATGTACCCCTATGTTCACTGCAGCATTATTTGCATTATCCAAGATATGGAAGCAACCCAAGTGCCCATCAATAGATGAGTAGATAAAAAAGCTGTGATACACACACACACACACACACACACACACACACACACACACACATATACACACACACAATGGAATATTGCTTGGTCAGAAAAAAAAAGAAATATTACTATTTGCAACAACATGGATGGACCTGGAGGGTATTATGCTAAGTTAAATAAGTCAGTCAGAGAAAGACAAATATCATATGATTTCACTTATGTGTAGTATCCAAAGAACAAAACAAATGAACAAACAAAATTGAAACAGACTCATAAACACAGAGAACAGACTGACGGTTGCCAGATTAGGGGAGAGGTTGGGGGACTGGGTGAAAAAGGTGAAGGGATTAAAAAGTACTAACGGGTAGTTACAAAATAGTCATGGGGATGTAAAGTACAGCATAGGAAGTAGAGTCAATAATACTATAATAACTATGTATGGTGCCAGATGGGCACTAAAAATATCAGGGGGAACGCTTTGTAAAATATTTGCTTATGTAACCACTATGCGGTACACCTGAAACTAATACAAAATAACACGGAATATAAACTGTAATTGAAAGATAAAATTAAAAAAATAAATAATGTTAGTGTCAGAAATGTTATAAACTCCAAGTTCAATAAGGCCCCTTCGTTGCTATGGTTAAAAAAAAAAATCAATTTATACTACAGATGCTGTCAACTGACAAAAAATGAAGGTGAAGGGTCATACTCTAGGAATCCATCTTCCCAGCCTTACTTCACCTTGGTTTCCAAACAACAGAATTCAAGTACCAGGTAAATTTCTTTCTTCATATTATTGGTCTACAGGGGCCTCCCACAGGTGACAGGACTGTGCTAGGCTGTTAGGCACTTCAGTGTGGTCTTCTGTGAACAGGCTTGTTTTTTATAGCATCAGCTCAATGGGGTACTTGATATCAGTGGTCTTTTCTCAGCCTGTCCAACTAAACAGCCCAGCACTACCCGTGTCTGGGGAGAGACCCCTGTGTCAGAGCTTTTTGGTGGTTCCTTTTTCTGCCCCTTTATTCCTCTCAGACATGAAGACGTCATTGTTGGCATTTCGGGGGGGGGGGCGGTAAAAGATTACTCATAGAAAAGTTGTTTTCAGACACCCTAACTTTCCAGCTCAACTACCAGCACCAGGATAAATCTTGCACGGAAATCAATCAGGTTTCGTGTTTGCGATCTAGGAAGCAGGAGAATGGCAGTGGCCAACTGTGCCAATGGTAGAGGTATGGGCTCTAGGCATGGCCAGGGTCTGTGGCAACAGAGGCGCCTGCTGTCCAAAGAGGAGGCTTTCAAGCTATCAGCCAGAAACCGGACTGGGAAAGAATCTAAGAGTACTAACTCTGTCTGTAACATTTGATATCTGACGTTGAGATTTAAGTAGAATGTACGTTGGCCTTTGGGAATGGAAGCTCTCTAGGAATCAGAAAGTCAACAGTAGCAGCTATGACAACGGACTTAGAAATTTGGGGAGGAAGTCTGGGTCCCTGATTCCAGCTTATTTGGACTCCAAAGTTTCACTTTGTGAGACAAACAACTCACCAAAGGGATCAAGAGCTGGATATAAAGGGGGAGAAGAGATCCCGTCTAAATTCTGGTGGGTACATTATCTGAGTAAAAACCCAACAGGAATAGCCTCTCTTTAATAAGGTCAATACTCCTACAAGAGTGGCAGAATAAGAAAGGTAGCTGGTAAGACCGAGCCACCTGAAAGCAACTGAGCCCAGTCAACTCAATCAGATCTCTCTCTCTCTCTCTCTCTCTCTCTCCGTGTTTGCGATCTAGGAAGCAGGAGAATGGCAGTGGCCAACTGTGCCAATGGTAGAGGTATGGGCTCTAGGCATGGCCAGGGTCTGTGGCAACAGAGGCGCCTGCTGTCCAAAGAGGAGGCTTTCAAGCTATCAGCCAGAAACCGGACTGGGAAAGAATCTAAGAGTACTAACTCTGTCTGTAACATTTGATATCTGACGTTGAGATTTAAGTAGAATGTACGTTGGCCTTTGGGAATGGAAGCTCTCTAGGAATCAGAAAGTCAACAGTAGCAGCTATGACAACGGACTTAGAAATTTGGGGAGGAAGTCTGGGTCCCTGATTCCAGCTTATTTGGACTCCAAAGTTTCACTTTGTGAGACAAACAACTCACCAAAGGGATCAAGAGCTGGATATAAAGGGGGAGAAGAGATCCCGTCTAAATTCTGGTGGGTACATTATCTGAGTAAAAACCCAACAGGAATAGCCTCTCTTTAATAAGGTCAATACTCCTACAAGAGTGGCAGAATAAGAAAGGTAGCTGGTAAGACCGAGCCACCTGAAAGCAACTAAGCCCAGTCAACTCAATCAGATCTCTCTCTCTCTCTCTCTCTCTCTCTCTCTCTCTCTCTCTCTTTTTCTTTTTGCTGCTTTTGTTTTCCCCAACTAGATCTCTTTTTGACATCAAGAGGTGAATGGAAGAAGTGGACAGTGGTTGCAGTTACATGAAGTAACCTTTAGAGATATAATAATGCACTGCACTCATATTCGGGCAAGATCTTCAGACACATGGGCTCCAGGTTAAGCTGAGACAGCTAATTTCCTGAATCCCCATTATAAATCGGAGCACTATAACATGCATTGCAGTATTTAATCCCAATAACTCCATGGGCTAGGTATTAAAATCATTTTCAAAGCAGAAGCAGACTCAGAGAGGCCGAGTAAACTGTTCCGTGATATCCAGGTAGTAAATGATAGAGCTGCTATTGGAATCAAAGCCTGTAAGACAGGAAACTGAATTCCAGAAGTAAAGAGAACATGTAGAGCAGTTCTCAGATTGCAAAGAAAACAAGTCATGGGCAATGAACAGATATCGAGATAAAAATTTCCCCCCTCTCCCCGCCTCTTTTAAATCCTAAAGAGTCTTAGAATTGGCAAAACATATAATGTGGCCTCCACGGAAGGCTCAGAAATAGTATACCTCAGAGGCCGAAGGCATCTAAAGGATAAGATCTTTATTTCATCTCATGCTACTCAACCACGGCCTGCCTGACTGATAGGACCCAACAAGAACCTGTAGCATAGATGCTGAAACCAGGCAAAAGTGAGGCGCAAGGTTCGTTTTGTTCTCTCTCCGTTTTTGATGAGGCAAAATTTCATATTACCATGGCTCACTGGGCAACTGGGCTGAGCCAGGCAAGCATAAAGCTGGATATTTCAGTTTCTTTTAAGTACTGTATAGATTAAGAACCACCACATTAGAAGTGCATCAGGCAGGGTTGAAAAAGTCATCAATAATTCTGTGACAGGAAATAGGAGTAATCCAAATATTTGGTGGGTACAATTATAATTATATACCTTATGACTCACCCCCTTATTTTCAACTGTATACCGTAGAGATTAACACTGTGAGATCAGTGTGGGGGGAAATTATATCTTAATCCTGTTGCAATAAAAGACTAATGCAGAATAGGGGACTTGATGATTATTTACTGATAAAAGCATCCCTAACATAAATGTTTCCAAAATAGAGATAAATATCCTCCTTTCTGTCCATTGATATAGAAAAGGGAGGGAAGAATAATTTTCAGAGAATAGCACATTCCCTCAACATTACATTGTGTGTGGGGGGGGAACATGGCTCCCTATGGCCTCACCACCTTTCAGTGCTTCATATACCACACTTTCCCCACGAGACACAGGTATACCAGTCATGGCTCCAGGTGCCTCTTTAGAAGCTGGAAAAACACTATTTTTTAGCCCTCGTCACTTCCTCCAACTCCCCACTCCTCCTACGGCCTTTACCTTCCACAGGGTTGGTTCTCAGTTTACTGCAGAGATTCATTACACCTCCATGGTGGTCATTGATCTGGATCAGAGCATCCGTCGAACGCAGCTCCATGAGCTTCCTGAGCTCCATGACTGTGAGGCCAAATTCCTTTTCACGGCTCTCAGCCGTCGAGTTGGCCGGCAAGGCATGTTCTGTGGTGTTTGTCATTTTGCCTGCTGTTCCCAAGCCCTTCAGACGCCCTCAGTCAGAGCAAAGGCGGAGCTCCCCTTCAACTGATCAGGGTCTCTTGCTTCTCTGCCTACTTCCTGTTCCCTGCTTCTGTGGGAGCCCAGTGAGGAAACTGATGGGCTCTGTCTTGGTCCTTTTTCCTTAGGAAGCTTGGCAGCAAGAAGAGGAAGAGGACGGGGGGAACTGAGTGGAAGCTGGACCACGTGTCACGATGTTTGGTGTCCCCAGGTGGCGAGAGACCGTGGCCGTCCAGGGTAGGTAGGTTCCTAGCTCAGACCAGCTTGCCCAGATGGAAGTGTAAACAGCACGCGCATGTTACCATGGCGGCAACCTTAGCAACAACCAGGAACTGCGATGGTAGAGAGGCAGCAGGAGAAGGAGGAGGGCTCCCTGGATACCAATGACAACTGGATCTCTGGAATAAAGATTCAAAGACAGACAAAAAAGAAACAATTAGAGCAGTCATGGTGAGCCAGCACCTGCCACGGCCAGAGACGCTCGTTCTAGCACAAAGGTTCGGATGACAGTTGGTGCCCGACCCGAACTGACAGCGGAATCCTGAGATAAGTGAACTCATTCCAGAGAGGCCCCTTCCTCCCTCAGAGGCCCCAGCAGCCTGTAAAGTCCAATGTAGGGAAGTAATTTCAGATACACCCAGGCTTCATAGCTCTTCTCTCCCAGACCAAGCAACACAAATCCCACAACTGCAGACACTTGGAAATAAAAGGTTCTGAGCTCTCATGGCTCTGTCCTCCGTTTTTGGGACCCACTGCATAATCCTTTCATCTTGACCTCACTTCTAGGAGGTGAGAAGAGGTCAGAAGAGGAGTGCGGACCTGAGTGCACAGGAGGATGGCCTGCCCGTCTGCCACTCTCCCTCCTGCTCCATACCCTTCCCTACTCTCAACACGTACATTTACAAACCAGGAAGATGACTGATGGGAGACGGCCCAATCCTCTAAGGGCCCTCAGAATACCCAGCCTCCAGCTGTATGGAAATCCTGCAGCTTGCAGTTGTCAACAGGCCAGGCAAGCGAGCTCAGGCCTTGGAGCTAAGCCCCTCCCTCCTCCACAAAGCTTCTGGAGGGAAGGGGAGAGTACCATGCTCTGGCAGTTGGTGAAACAGGGTGGGACCTTTTTACACAAAGGGGGAGAGGACCTCTGAGGAGAAAAGATAGTGAGTTTAAAGCCTGTGAGTGTTAGTGTTTTCGGGGGCGAGGGGGGCGGGGCAGGGATAAGACAGCGTTTGATTCCGATAGAGCCTAGGGCCACAGCAAGGTTGCAGGGGAACAGAATTAGCCTCCGATGAGTGAGCACCTGAGGCTCTCAAATCAGCACTCCGCCCCCCCGCCCCCCCGCGCAGAAAGGCATGTGCTGCCTCTTGCACATGCTGGCTGCAGAGGAGCAGAGCTATGGGCAGGTGAGGATATGGGGGCTGGAGGTGTGAAGGCTTATCCAGAGCCCTGCGCTCGAGAGGCTTCTGCGTCATGCAGGACCATTGCCACACATCAGCCACTGACATGTGAAGGGGCTCTTCCTGAACGCAGCACCAGAACCTGGAGGCCCAGCCTTGGTTAAACTGTCCCCGCTGACTTGAGTTCGGTTACCAGGGGTGGATGGAGCCAGGAGCTCTGCTCAGCCTCCCTCTAATAAATAGATGACACCCTCGCTTCTTAGAAGGTGAACAAAGCACACGAACTAGCAGATGAGGACTTTATCAATTACTTTTCCAAAAATCACATGTGGCCAAAGTTCCTGCTGATCCCGATCAATCTTGTTCTCAGCAGGATCCCCGGGACAGAGGTGATTGCAGACCCCCTGTCTCCATGGTCCTCTGCTGCCTCCTCCTATCCCAGATTTTTAGAGCTCTCCCGACTTACACCGGGTTAAGCAAGCAGGGTTTTCTTTCGTTGTTGTTATTGTTTTTAATATCACATTCCCTTTATTTTTAGATGTCATCAGAGATCCTGGAAACAAGGAGGTCTGGAGAAAACCTGCGGCAGTGTGTCCAACTCCCTTCATTCAGACGGGCACAGAGAGAAGCAGCTCCACAGAGCTTTCTCTCCCGTTCAGCTTCTCCTCCAAGCTACTCTGGAGCAGTGGGTGACAAAGATTCTATCGTAGTAAGAAGCCCACCTTGATCCTCACGTAGACCTCCTTAAGCTTTCAAGAGGATGCTGAGGACAGCGCTGACAGTGCTAAACTGGACGTCAGATCTTCTCTGTCTCTGCCCACCACACTGTTCGTTCCACGAAGGTAGAGATTTTACTCATCTTGTTCACAGCTTTATCCCCAGCGCCTAGAGGAGAACCTGCACGTGGTGGGCATCCAGCTAAATCTTTTATTGAATGAACAATCGCAGATTCAGGACCAGATTTACCATCTTCCCAGGCACCCGTTGGGCAAGTCATTTAGCCTTCTTAGGGCTCAGTTCCTCCCACCTTAAGCTGGGGCGGGCGGGGGGGGGGGGCAGAATCAGCCCTACCTTTGCACACCATCCTAAAAACGTGATGAAGGAATGGGATTATAGATAGAAATAGTGCTTGGAAATCTTAGATGAAAGATGCCCAGTGCTAGAGACACTTGCTCCGAAGGTCAAGCACTAAGCTGCTGGCACAAAGTCAAGGGGGCAGTGCCCAGCTGGGAGCCTATTTATTTCTCCAGGAAAGTTCTTCCGGGATTCGGAGGTGAGGCAGGTGCCCCTGTCTCCCTGAGCTCTGAGTTCTGAGAACATGAGCTCCCTGCAACTGCTGTACTTGCCTGGTCCCTAACCTTATTAGGTAACCAGCAAATACTCTGTAAGCGCTCCACTGCCTCGGCCTCAGACACAATGCCTGGACGGTAAGACCTCTTGTCAGGTCAGGATTAATCATTCCTCCGGGCATTCTGGGTAAGGTATGTTCTCACTCCCTTTCCAGCATTTAGCCAGCCTAAGGGATGAGAGGATGGGAGAGAGAAGTCTCTCGTCCCTTCTGTGGGGCCAAGAAATCCTATCATTCGACATGATCATAAAATCATTTTAATTTTTTTCCTCCTAAAGTCCTGTAACGTGTTCTACAAATTGGAATGATACGTAGAAGCATTGTCACACCAATTCTAGGTAGGACAGCTGTGACCCCCACCTTACAGATGAAGACAGTGTGGTCCAAGGAGATAAAAAGTGATTTATTTGGCCTTTGGCAAGTCAGTGACCTTGACTGCATGGCCTTTTCGCTCCACCTTACTCCTTTCCCTGAGTCTGAACCTCCTCATTTTCTGACAATGGGTCATGGGCAAGGCACAGGTAGGTTTATGTGGGCCAAGCATGTCAAACTTGAGGCCGGCAGGCCACATGCCTCGTTGGCCTGCCGGCCGCGAGTTTGACATGCTTGAGTGGGCCTTCTCATCAAACTTTAGGAAGTCAATCCATAGTTTTGTTTCCATTTTCTTCGTGTCCTGTACTTCTTCTACACCTAAGAAGTCTGTTTTAGAAATTTTTTTTATTTTATTGATTTCAGAGAGGAAAGGAGAGGGAGGAGAGACAGAAACTTTAATGATGAGAGAGAACCATTGAACGGCTGCCTCCCACACGCCACCCACCGGGGATGAGCCTACAACCGGGCATGTGCTCTATCCACTGAGCCAAACCAGCTAGGGTTCTTGAGCAAAGAAAGGGGGGGGGGGCAGAATCAGCCCTACCTTTGCACACCATCCTAAAAACGTGATGAAGGAATGGGATTATAGATAGAAATAGTGCTTGGAAATCTTAGATGAAAGATGCCCAGTGCTAGAGACACTTGCTCCGAAGGTCAAGCACTAAGCTGCTGGCACAAAGTCAAGGGGGCAGTGCCCAGCTGGGAGCCTATTTATTTCTCCAGGAAAGTTCTTCCGGGATTCGGAGGTGAGGCAGGTGCCCCTGTCTCCCTGAGCTCTGAGTTCTGAGAACATGAGCTCCCTGCAACTGCTGTACTTGCCTGGTCCCTAACCTTATTAGGTAACCAGCAAATACTCTGTAAGCGCTCCACTGCCTCGGCCTCAGACACAATGCCTGGACGGTAAGACCTCTTGTCAGGTCAGGATTAATCATTCCTCCGGGCATTCTGGGTAAGGTATGTTCTCACTCCCTTTCCAGCATTTAGCCAGCCTAAGGGATGAGAGGATGGGAGAGAGAAGTCTCTCGTCCCTTCTGTGGGGCCAAGAAATCCTATCATTCGACATGATCATAAAATCATTTTAATTTTTTTCCTCCTAAAGTCCTGTAACGTGTTCTACAAATTGGAATGATACGTAGAAGCATTGTCACACCAATTCTAGGTAGGACAGCTGTGACCCCCACCTTACAGATGAAGACAGTGTGGTCCAAGGAGATAAAAAGTGATTTATTTGGCCTTTGGCAAGTCAGTGACCTTGACTGCATGGCCTTTTCGCTCCACCTTACTCCTTTCCCTGAGTCTGAACCTCCTCATTTTCTGACAATGGGTCATGGGCAAGGCACAGGTAGGTTTATGTGGGCCAAGCATGTCAAACTTGAGGCCGGCAGGCCACATGCCTCGTTGGCCTGCCGGCCGCGAGTTTGACATGCTTGAGTGGGCCTTCTCATCAAACTTTAGGAAGTCAATCCATAGTTTTGTTTCCATTTTCTTCGTGTCCTGTACTTCTTCTACACCTAAGAAGTCTGTTTTAGAAATTTTTTTTATTTTATTGATTTCAGAGAGGAAAGGAGAGGGAGGAGAGACAGAAACTTTAATGATGAGAGAGAACCATTGAACGGCTGCCTCCCACACGCCACCCACCGGGGATGAGCCTACAACCGGGCATGTGCTCTATCCACTGAGCCAAACCAGCTAGGGCCCAAGAGGTCTTTTAAAATGCAGGCATCTCTGGGTTTGTGCTGGTAATTTCCCTATAAATATCTCTGTTGCAAGCATTTTTGCTGCACAACTAATTGGCCACGAGGCAATTTTGCCGTAAAAGATAAAATAACTGGCTGACAGTTTGGTTTACATTTGGCGGATTTCATGTATTTAAGCTAGTTGTCAGCTGGGTTTTATTTCTCCAGGAGTGAAGTTCTTGTAGTTACTCCCATTTCACATTATATAAATCTCAGCCTTCACAGTGGTCTGTACAGCGAGGAGTAGACGTGGTGTTCTTAAAATAGCGCCTAACAGCTACGTATAAAGCAGATTGCAAAGCCCTGTGGACGGCCGGACTGCACACTCTACCAGAAAATGATCACAGATCAGCCGGCAAATCCTTCCATGAGCCCGGTGAGCCCTCCCACTTGTCAAAACCAAGTTGACCGGACGGCGCAAATTGATACCTCTCTTAGTGGAGGAAGAAGAAATTGTAGCAAAAAGGGAAAAGTGCTATGCCTTACAAGGGGACCAACCAGCAAGCAAATTTTTAAAAAAGTATAATGCTATCAATGGAAGATGT